GAGCGGCTCCCGGCGAGACGAAGCACCCCCAGGCACAGCACCTCCAGGCTCGGCACCTCCAGGCTCAGCACCCCCAGGCTCAGCACCCCCAGGCTCAGTACCCCCAGACACAGCACCCCCAGGCACAGCACCCCCAGGCTCAGCACCCCCAGGCACACCACCCCCAGGCTCAGCACCCCCAGGCCCAGCACCCCCAGACTCCGCACCCCCAGGCTCAGCACCCCCAGGCTCAGCACCCCTAGACTCCGCACCCCCAGGCTCAGCTCCCGCAGCAGCACCGGAGTCACCAGTGACCTCGACAGGCTCGACCGCGTCTACCTGAGACACACCTGAAGGGGCAGGACCCAGAGGGGGGAGGGGGACCACTGGGGGGGGACCTGGTACCAAGAAGAGCGGGGGTGGGGGGAGGGACGGAGTGCGGTAGGGGAAGAGGCGGTAGTAGGGTACCGACTCGTCGAACGTGACGTCCTGGGAGGACAGAACACGTCGAGAGGTGGGGTGGTAAAACTGCCACCCAGGGGCGTCGGGGGGGAACCCGAGGAAGACGCAGGGAGAAGCACGAGGGGACAGCTTGTCCGCAGACAGGTCGCGAACAAACGCCCGAGATCCCCAGACCCGGAACGCCGACGCATCGCCAACCTTCCCCGTCCACAACAGAGCTGGGGAGGTCTCCGGTCGAGAGACCCTGGGGTGGAGGTTGATCTGGTGCGCAGCGTACCTGACCGCAAACGGCCACAGAAAATGGGGAGCAGCCGCATGCATCATGGACGTACGAGCGACGTCCATGACCATGCCAATGCGGCGCTCAGCGATCCCATTCTGCTGTGGTGAGTCCGGAAGCGTGAAGGTCTGACGGATGCCTCGCACACGACAGTAGGCACTCAGGAGGGCAGAGGAGAACTCTCCGCCTCTGTCCGAGTGCAGACGCAAGACAGGGAAGTCAGAGCCAAAGCTTCTCCGAAGCTGAAGACGAGCTGCGCGGATCCAGTCGATCAACACCTGAGTGACCTCACCCTTGCTGCGCAAGGGGAAGACTGTGGTGTAACGCGAGTAGTCGTCAACCACCAGCAGGAAGTAGCGCTCCTGACCCTGTCCACGGACGCGGGCTGGGCCCCACACGTCCATGTGAAGCGTCTGCAACGGGGCCTCTGTCGGAGGAAACTGGGAGGAGTGAGGGGCAGCACGCTGGCGCCCCTCGACACAGGGGACACAGGCAGGGCCAGGGCCCGGAGGAAGGGGAGGGAGGGACCGGGGAACACCAGACACAAGGACCCGCGAGGCCATGCCTCTGAGCCGAAGCAGAGAGGGGTGGCCAAGGCGGTGGTGCCAGAGGAGGGTCTCGTGAGACAGACGACGACACGAACAAGGGGCAGACTCAGGACCAGACCTGGACGCTGCAGCAAACACCTGACCAGACGAAGGGGCCCTACCAGACGCAGTACCTGGAGGAGAAGCAGTGGTCAGTGTGTACAAGCTCGACCCCGGCCGACGTGTAAACGTAGCCAGGTGGCGACCTGTATCCGCCTCCGTACAGTGGGTCACCCGCTGACGAGCAGGGGTGAACTGGTGGACACCTGCATCCTGGAGGTCAGCACCACTCACCAAGTTCGTCGAGAACGAGGGGAGGTAGAGACCAGTCAGGGTGCCAGAGGGGGCCGCCGGACACGGGAGGACAGTGGAGAAGCGAGACAGGACAGGCCCCCCAGAGGGGTCCGCCAGGGACACCGCAACAGGCCGACTCAGCGGCGTGAGAGTGGTGCGGTCCCTGAAGAAGGAGCGAGACGCTCCAGAGTCAAGGGTGAAGGTGTGAGAGGCCGAAGCCGACACAGTACCTGAGAGGGCGGACTCACCAGTACCTGAAAGCACAGACGCACTGGCACCTAGAGCAGCAGCCTCACTAGTACCTGACGCGGCAGTACCAATGCCCGGGTCGGGCGGGAAACACCGGTAACAGTCATCCTCATCACTACCAGTCACAGCATACATAGCAGAGAGAATAGCATCAAAATCAAGATCATAAATAGCTACACCAGCCCTAGACAGCTCTCCCCAGCGGGGGATCTCAGCGGCCTCCGGAAACTGCTGACGCCAGGCGTCGGTCAGGCGGCCAAAGCAGCGACGGGCTGTGTGGGCGCCTCCACACCTCTCCCCTGCACGGTCACCAGTGCGAAGAACGTAGGGGCAGGGACCAAGCGCACCACCGCGCTGACGCTGCAAGTACCACTCACGGAGCTGCTGAGGGCCGGGGACGGTGCGAGAGCGCTGCTGCTGCTGCCGCTGCTGCTGCGGCTGCTGCTGCTGCTGCTGCTGGCGCTGACCACCCCCAGAGCTGCTCCGCTGGGACGAGCCACTCCGACCCCCTCCTCCACCGCCACCCCCGCCTCCACCGCCACCCCCGTCGCCACCGCCACCTCCCCCACCAGGACCGTCGCTCCCACCGCTCCCACCGCCTCCTCCGCTACCACCTCCGCCGCCACCTCCGCCTCCACCGCCGCCACTACTACCTCCACTCCCGCCACCACCCCCCCCGCCACCCCCACTCCCCCCTCCACCCCCACCTCCTCCTCCACCGCCCCCTCTGGCTCCACCCGCTCCCTTGCCCCCCTTGCCCTTGCCAGTGCGGCGTCTGCCACTGGGGGCAGACGCCGCGCCGACCGACTCAAAACCAACGAGGTCGGCCGCAGCGGCAGAGGCGACAGAGGGCAGCAGGGGGGAGGGACCACACCCCTCAAAGATGGGGGTGCGAGGGTCACCCCGAGAGGCCCCTACAGCGACAATACTCTTCTCAGCCGCTAGCAGGGACTCCTCAAGGAGGTCGACAGTGAGAGTGGTGGGACAGACAGAGAGAAACTGGTCCCTAACGACACGAAGGGACTCAGGGAGACGGGTGACTAGAAAGTAGAGAGTGATGTACATGGGAGGAGGGTTCGCAGCGCGGAACTCAGCAGGAAGGGCAGCGCGGTAGCGGGTGTCACTTGCGCGGAGGTGGGTAACGAGGTCAGCGACAGTGGGAAAGGAAGCGAGGTCAGGGAAGAGAAACGGTAGCATGAGGCGGCTAAGGGTAGCGGAGGAAGGGGAGGAGTAGCGCGCAACTACAGCGTCGTACAAGGCATGAGCGGTCTTGCACTGACTAAAGTGGGCACGCTCAGAGGAAGGGAGGTGGCGACGCACAGCAAGACGTGCAGCAGCATCGCGGGTTGCCCACTTGGAGCGAACGGCAGAGTCAGCATCAGCAGGCGGGGCAGGGACAGCGCCAGAGACAAAGTCAAAGAGAGAGACCTCATCTACCGCATCACACAGTAAGTACAGCTGCAGGTCCTCGATCCAGACGGCAAAGTCAATGGCCCTCCCCTCAGCGTCAAAAGTGAGAACATTGGGGGTGGCCATGGCAGCAGCTGAAAGTCTCACCGGGATGGGAGAGTCGGGTAGGTCAGCAGCAGGCGGCTCGGGCTGCTCGGGCGGCTCGGGCGGCTCGGGCGGCTCGGGCGACTCGGGCGGCTCGGGCGGCTCGGGCGGCTCGGGCGGCTCAGGTACCGGGCGGCTCGGCTGCTGCTGGGCGGCTCGGCTGCTGCTGGGCGGTTCGGCTGCTGCTGGGCGGCTCGGCTGCTGCTGGGCGGCTCGGCTGCTGTTGGGCGGCTCGGCTGCTGCTGGGCGGCTCGGCTGCAGTGTAGTGGCGGGGCCGGGACAAGGGACGGCGGGGCCGTTAGGGTGCAGTGGCGGAGCCGGGACAGGCGCAGTGGCGGGGCCGCAGGGTGCAGCGGCGGGCCGTCAGGATGCAGCGGAGGGCCGCTGGAAGCACCCGCGGCTGAGCAGGCTGCGGGGCCGCGTCGTAGGAGGCGGCAGGGCCGCGGCTGAGCAGGCGGCAGAGGCCGCGTCGTAGAGGGCGGCGGGGCCGCGGCTGAGTAGGCGGCGGAGGCCGCGTCGTAGCGGGCGGCGGGGTCGCGGCTGAGCAGGCGGCGGAGGCCGCGGCGTCTGCAGGCGGCGGAGGCCGCGTCGTAGAGGGCGGCGGGGCCGCGGCTGAGCAGGCGGCGGGGCCGCGTCTTAGCAGGCGGCAGGGCCGCGTCTTAGCAGGCGGCGGGGCCGCGTCTTAGCAGGCGGCGGGGCCGCGTCCGAGTAGGCGGCGGGGCCGCGACTGGGTGGCGGGGCCGCGTCTTAGTGGCGGGGCCGCGACTTAGTGGCGGGGCCGCGACGTAAGGGCGGGGCCGCGACGTAAGGGCGGGGCCGCGACTGGACGGCGGGGCCGCGAACGAAGGGCGGCGGGGCCGCAGGGGAAGGGCGACTCGGGGGGGTCGCTAAAAAAAAAAGGATCGCGCGCCTCGGGGCGCGCTTCGGTGGGCCCTAGGCGAAGTTCCCACAGGGAACCCGCTCTGATACCATGTGAAAGGAATGAACAGGAATGAATTGACTAAGTCAGAGTTGGGTACAAATACAACCCTAGCAAACTGTACCCCATATGTGCTACCCCACTATAGCCTACAAACATGCATCAGCTATAATAATCTGACAGGGATGGCCCGGATGGGAGGAAGGGGTTGAAGGGGAGGAGGAAAGACATGTCGGGATGTGTGTGTGTGAGGAAGTGTGCCATGGATGAGCGAGGGGTGGGGAACACGGGAGAGAGAGGGGGGGGGGGGGTAAGACGTACAAGAACGAAAAAGTCCCACGTGCTCGCCCCTGTACCTGCCTCCCACAGGCACGACACCTTTCCCATCTCTTCCTCCTCAGCGCCTCATGCGCCACCAGCAACGCCATCCCACCTCCCTGTTCCCCAATGGGTCTCCCCCCTCCCCCACCCATCTTCGCAATGACGGTGGCGCCAACACTAGGAATGGCAGTTTGTGCCCCCGCGCGCCGCACTGACACTACTTGCAGCTGGGGGAAGGGGGAGGGACGGGTGGCGGGGGTGTGGAGGGGGTTGCGGGATGGGGGAGGTGTCAGAGGTCCACTGGTGATCCCCGATTGATCCTAGGGAAGGGTTACAGGCTCGTTGTCCTGGAGGTTTATGGGCGCACTGACCCGCCAGCACCAGCACCAGCACTGAAGCCAGTCACCAGCACCAGCACCAGCACCGGCACCAGCGACGTCACGCCAGCACCAGGCACCAGGACCAGCAGCCCCGCCTGTGACCAGCAGCCCCACCTGTGACGAGCAGTTCCACCTGTGACCAGCAGCCCCACTTGTGACCAGCAGCCCCACCTGTGACCAGCAGCCCTACCTGTGACCAGCAGCCCCACCTGTGACTTGCAGCCCCACCTGTGACCAGCAGCCCCACCTGTGACCAGCAGCCCCACCTGTGAAGGAGTGTACAAGGATCATCGTGGGTGGGGAGGGGTCTGGAGGAAGAATGGGGGGGAGGGAGTGCGGTTCCAGGGGGCGGTTGACATGGGGGGTGAGGTTAAAGGGGGTTGGTTGATTGGGGGTGGGGATGTGGGGGTTAGTAAGAGGGGACGATGCGGCCACCCCCCCACCTCCTCTCCTCATCCCGCACTCAAACCCCCCTTTGTAAAAGGGGATTAGTAAGAGGGGACGCCGCGGCCACCCCCCCACCTCCTCTCCTCATCCCTCAATCACCTCTCCCTTTGTTCCTATCTCCTCTCCTCTCCTCTCTCTCTCTCTGTCGCCTCCTCCTCCTCACTTTCCTTTCTGCCGTCTTCCACTGCGCCAGCTATACCCCTTCAGGGGGTGTTGACTATACTAGTTCCTATTGCAAGCAGGCTAAGGGGGTGTGTCAAAGTTATATTTAAGATATATTCTGCTTGCTGTAGTTACTGTAGTTATTGTACTTTGCAGTTGGTGGTGCACCTCTTGTTTCCTAGTTTCTCGACTATATATTGTATGCTTTGCTTTTAGTGAAGTTAACTTGTTTGGTCAATTTCTATCGACCCTTGCTCTCGCCACCCTCGATACCCGCGTGGTCTAAGCTTCTAAGCCTAGGCCCTAGTTAAACCCGGTTACCAGTTAAGATCGCATCGTAATAGGAGGGTGGGTGGTGAATAGAATGTAACGAGGGAAGGGGAGAACTGGATGGGGATGCGGGCAAACGGAGGCGGAAAGCAAGAGTGGGGGAAGAAGGCAAAGGAGACAAGGCGACGCTTCGTTTAGACTCACGGGGTCGCCGGGGGCAACGGTCACGGTGCCCGTGGTACTGGCGTACACGAACAGCCCGCGCACGTCCATGCCCGGCCCCACAATGAGCTCCGCCGCGACGCCCAGGCAATCGCCGGGCACCTTCACGTCCGGCGATGGCGCCATCATCGGGAAATCGGGGGGTCCCGCAACCTTGTAGGAAACCGATTGCTGGCGAGTGGTTTTCGCCTCCAAGCAATTGCCTGGTTTCAGCGAGTGGTTTGCTAGGCTAGTAGCTTACGAGAATTAGTACTTCGTCTTGCTGTTCGCCGTCTAGGAGCGACAATACCACAGTCTTCCAACTCCTTAATACCCTTACGTTCACCCCGCGACTTGGCAGAAAACCACCATCACACGCATGTTCCCAGCAGCAGAAAAACAGTAACAGCTATTGCGTCCCGCAATCTCGCTGGTGTTATAGTGCGTGCACCTACTGATTCCTTCGACAACATCACAAAAATGCTGAAGGTGTTGAAAATGGGGTGGCCCATCGGACCACATTTCTAGATGGAGTCCAATCGTTGTAAGTTTTTGTATATAGCCTGTGCCTGTGTTTGGGGCCGAGGTGGCAATGCTAGCAGACAACTCTGTTACAGCATTGACAAGCCGCTCATCTGCTGCGCTGGGACCAGAACCGTCAGCGGTTGTCGCCGAGCTCCCCTCGTCGACCGCTGCTCACTTTTCTGGTCGACGGACTGCTCCGTCGACCTCCCGATCGAACTGCAGGTCGACGGGCTGCTTCATCGGCCTCCCGGTCGAGCTGCAGGTCAACGAGCTGCTCCTTCAACCTCCCGGTCGAACTGCCCCTCCTGGTCGACGGCCCACCTGTCGCCCAGACCAGTCAGTTGCAACTGTCGAGCTCCATGGTCGACAGCAACACCACAACGGTTTCCTGCAGCTCGACAAAGCCTGCCGAACAGCTCTTCCACTGTGAAAGGTCGGCTGCTGTGAAAGTTTAGAAGAAAGAAGAGAGGTTTCACTAGCACCAGTTGGGATACATATAGCAAACCCTAACAGGGTTGTACTCGCTATTGAGCACCCCACTACAGGCTAGATAATAACATTCTGACACACCTCCATAGCCAAAGTGGGGTGTAATCAGCAGAGCAAGCAAAGCAGAACAAGCTCAGGGTGGATCACAATGTCACCACACATTCTGAGCACAAGTACAAGAAGCAACAGTTTAAAGTTCAGAAATGTAAGCAAAGCTAGAGCTAATCACAGCGCACAAGTGAGGAGGAGGAGCTGTGGGGGAGAGAAGATGGGAGGCGACTGCTGACGCTGCAGACACACAGACGAGCTGCTGGCTCAGTGGCTACCGGAACAGCGCTCCGGACTACTGGAGTAACTGGCCCCGCGGCTAAAAGTAGCGGCAGACGAGCAACGGACCCACGGGTGACTGGCGACTACCGGAGATTGTAGCATCCGCACTGCTGCTGCTGCTGACGACAAGACTGCTGCCTCCACTCAACCTCCCCCAACTGCCCCACACTCTCGGCACACGCCCACTGCTCAAACCCTAGCTCCACTCCCACGCACCCCCCTTAAACCCCCAAACCCCAATCTCCCACTCATCCACCCCCCTCAGCGACAGCTGCAGCAGTGGGAGATGAAGGAGGAGGAGGAGCAAAGGGAGGAATGCACAACTGCCACCCCCATACTCGCCACCCCCAAACCCTAACACATGGCAGGGCGGGATGGCGGGTAGGGAGGTGACCGGGGGGGGGGAGGGGACCGACGCGCGGCCTCCTAGAGCGCCAAAACAGGCGGCAGAAGGGGCGGCGCTCGCCCCCCTCCCCCAGGTAGCCCCTACCCCAGGGGGCGGTGCACGTGCCCTTGGTGCGCCGCGACTGGCGACGCAGCATGGCCGGGGCGAGGCCGGTCCTGGCGCAGCCCGTACGGGCCGCGCAGTGCCTGTACGGGCCGCGCGCAGGCAACGACGGGCGACGGGGGGCGACGCGCGGGTCCCCGTCGCCTGTCGCAACGCCTCCCGAGGGCGACGTGCCGAGGGATGGGGCAGAAGCCCGCCGCGCGCCTCGGAGCGCACAGCGGGCAGAGAACCGCCGCGCGCCTCGGGGCGCACGGCGAGCAGAAAACCGCCGCGCGCTTCAAGGCGCACGGCGGGAAGAAAAACTGCCGCACGCCACGGGGCGTGCGGCACAGAGAGTAGCAGTAGCAGTTGCAGAGGTGGTGAGCCCACCCACAGGATCGATCCAAGGGGATCGACCTGCTCTGATAGCATGTGAAAGTTTAGAAGAAAGAAGAGAGGTTTCACTAGCAGCAGTTGGGATACATATAGCAAACCCTAACAGGGTTGTACTCGCTATAGAGCACCCCACTACAGGCTAGATAATAACATTCTGACAGCTGCTACTCCCGTACATCCGACCAAGTCGTTGGGGTTGCCCAAGCGAGGGCGGGGCCAACACTCCAATCTTGTTAACAAATTAAAAAAAAAAAAGTAAAAACACTAGTAGGATAATTGGGTCATGCATTCAACCCAGTGACCTCGTTTGTAATCAACTCCTGTTGTAGATTGACTTTTTGCAGAATGAACGGAGTCTCACTTATGCTCTCATTATTTGTTGCGTTTCTATGTAATTTTAACAGGAGATGAACTAAGAAAAGATAACAACGAAATGACAATGTCAAGAGAAAATCAATATTCATAGGTAAACATTGCAACAAAGTGAGCTACCTAGCAAGGCGACTTGCAGCGGTGCATGAAGGCGGCTTGCCAACACTGCAGCAAGGCAGCGTGTCAACATTGGAACAATGCAGCATGCCAACGTTGCACAAAGTTAGCCTAATATAAAAATGTTAAGCAACTTGGAACAAGCGCGTAGTAGTAAATGCTGGACACAATTCAAGGAAATTACAATATAAGCGAGATAACAACAATAGTATAAAAACTATGAAGTCGCAAAATAAAATATATTGATGAGGAAAAAATTATACATTTTGCTGGAATACCTTTCATACTCTTCCTTTGGTTGTCACGAAAAGCTTTTATGCTGTTTCGTGGTGCAGTTATCCATCTGAATGTGCCCAGAAATGCAACTATGCTTTCATTGGACGATTCCCCTCTCGCGATTATCTTCACACACCTTGAACGGTTTTCTGACGAATGAATTGTGCCCTCGTTGCTGATGTGGCGAAAGGAATCGAAAAACTTTCGTGTCGCGCCCAGAATGCTGTGTGGTTACTGATGTGACTATCCTTGGGCGCGCCAGACACCACACACCAGTTACAGGCTTCGAGTCGCGACCTGCTGTGAGGTTCGAACAGGCTATCAAGTGCAACAAAGTGAGCAACAACTCAATCCCAGCCAATCCCAAGCACATCGAGCGCACCCTCGTTTCAATCCCTCTCTCCACCTTCGCCCCACCCTGTACATGCATGCAACCTACCCACCCACCTCACCGTCAAAGCATCGATCAATTTCTCTTCACGTCATTCCATCTCTTCCCTGTTCAATCGTCGCTTCACGATTCCTTAGTTTCTCCATTTCCCTTAGTTTCTAAGTTTCCCTTAGTTTCTTAGTCTAAAGGTGCGAGTTATAGCTCACAGTCTTAACACTTTTGAGAAACTGAACGAGAAAATGGAATCACTAAGGGAAAGTTGGGTAAAAGTATAAACCCTAAAAAGCTGTACCCCATATGTGCTACCCCACTATAGCCTACAGTAGCTATGTCATATAAATCTGACACACCCCCATAGGCAAAGTGGGGGAGAACAAGGGGTCACAAGACCAGTCAAGCAAAGCAAAGCAAGCTCAGGATGGATCACAAAGTCACCACACATTCCGACCACAAGTTCAAGGCCACAAGGCCTGTTCACATGCACGATTACATATATATACAAGGCTAGACAAGCAAGAGCAGATGTATATATATATATATATGCAACAGTACAAACAAGGTCAAGGGGTGAGCAAGTGAGGCAAGGTAGGCACAAGACCCAGCTGAGTACAGAAGCGCTGATGATCACAAGGCGCAAGTGCCTTGGTGAAGATATCAGCAGTGTTGGCCTCAGAGGCCATGTACGCAAGCCGCAGCTGACCACGCTGCTGCAGCAACAAGACTAGCAGCGTAGTCTAGACGACAGCGAGCAGCAAAGTTGACGAGCTCAGCAACTAGGGCAGACGCAGCAGTGGACTCAAAGGAAGGGTCAGTGACGACAGTAGCAAGGAGACGCGTGACAGTAGGACTGGCAGCACGAAGAGAGTCCGACTCCGGGTCGGCAAGAGCAGGAAGAGAGGACTCAGGAGGATAAGGCAAAGGGGCACACAGAGGAGCAGTGGACGGACGTAGAGACTTCCGGTGCGTGCCAGGGACAGGAGGAGGACGCTGACGCGAACCACGACCACTAGTGCGAGCAAGACGGACAGGCGACGCAGGGAGAGACGTAGGCTCATGACGCTCAGCAAGACCTCCAGTAGGACCAGGCAGTGGGGAGGCTGGCTGTAACTGTATCTGTGACGGGACAGGCTGTGGACACTCTAAGGGAGGAGGAGGACCAGTAGAAGGCGGGAGACCAAGAACCTGCTGAAGGAGCGGAACGAGGCTGCGCGGCGACTCCAGACACAGCAGGGACAGCACCAGTACCCCCAGCGGCAGCACCAGCGCCAGCAGCACCCCCAGCTCCAGTATCTCCAGCAGCACTAGTAGCACCCCCAGCAGGACCGCCTCCAGGACCGACAGCAGAAGCCTCAGCGCGAACACCCTCAGTAGCTCCAGCTCCAGTCGTACCCGCAGGCCCAGCAGCTCCAATACTCCCATTACGAGCATCTCCAGGACCCGCAGCACCAGCACCCTCAGCAGCCGAAGAACCTCCAGCTCCAGCAGCACGCCTCCAGCACCGGGCAAACCACTCGCGCAGCTCTTGTGGAGAGAGTGGCTCCCGCCAAGACGAAGCACCCGGAGAACCTCCAGGCCCAGCACCGCCAGAAGCGACACGAGCAGGCCCAGCTCCCTCAGGCTCCGCACCCCCAGGTTCAGCACCTCCAGGCGCAGTACCCCCAGGCTCAACACCCCCAGGCATAGCACCCCCAGGCTCAGCACCCCCAGGCTGAGCAACCCCGGGCTCAGCACCCCCAGTAGTAGCACCCTCAGGATCAGCACCCCCAG